CATACTTGGCATGAAAAAGTTGTATATGCTTAATTTGATCTAACTTTTTTTCATTTATGTAAGAGATGAATTTTTAAACTAAGAAAGACTGATAGATATACATATAAGTATTGTATGTTCCTTACGTTTTTATACATACATACTGTAAAAGTGTTAGGGCTGTTAACTTATCTATTAACGATTTAACTATAGCTTAAAATAGATAAGTTTACGGCCCTTAATATGCTTAATTTGTTAAATGGCCCATCAAGACGATTGACCGTGTATGTTCTTGTGGTGTGATTGTACCAGCTGCTGGTGCGACTTCAAAAACTATTTGAAAATTTTATGATTGTACCAGCATGCTCTTGTCGTGAGTGGTGACATTAGCTCAATTTTCTAAGTAAAAAGTATTTTGGCGTAAATTTCTTGAACTATATGAGTCAAAGCCGTGTTTGTGGAAGATTAACTTCACGATATTGCAGTTGTGAATTAAAAAAAAAAAAACAATGTTTAACAAAATGCTAGAAAAATTATTAAATTTCGGCTCTAATCATTTCGATCTTTCCTCGACCTCATTTGTAAAGAAATAAATATTGTACCAGCATGCTGGTAAGTTATATGCTTCGAGCCTAATGGTACGATCACTTGATGGAGCCAGCAAGCTGGTGTCGTATATTTCCCATTTTATACAAAAAGGTTTTTGGTTGGATAAAATATTAGCTTTTTATCCAGAGTTCATTGTTTTTATATACCACTAGCTTACCCGGCGAACTTCGTCCCGCCCAAAAATAATTTTTTTATTGAAATATTTGGTCCAACGTTTTCGCCAGCAATTCACGTTCACGTTTGGTTTTGTGGTCGACAGAAGGCATATCCTCCATTACCGTCTTAAATAACCTGATGAAAGCGTTATACCGGGAAGAAGTCCTTGCAGCTCGATAGTGAATCGTTCTTGAATCTTTATAGTCTAGTTGGTGGCAATTTCCAAACTGGTGAGTATCATTGATCCATATCTGTTTAGTCAACGTAAAGCAAGGACCGCAGGGTCAAGGTGCAGGAATGGTATTTTCAGGGATTGAAGTCAGAAGTCCAAGCCTTAATTTAAGCCTAAGCGGAATTTTTCTTAATTGCGGTAGGTACTCAAACTTCACAAAATCAGTTTTTCCTGTTCAACAAATAACTATAAGTGACCATCAAGCAAAGGTGCAGGAATTTGCAGAGATAGTAGCCGAGATTTTCTTTCTTTAATCTAAGCCTAAGTGGGAGGTTCTACCACCCTTTGTTTCTTTGCTAGAGCTTCTCAAATATTGCAAAATCGCGATTCTTTGACACTGACCTTGTTTTTCTTAAAATCTGGAGCTGACCGAAACTTTATGCTTACGTCAAAAATAGCGTTAACATTAGCTGCATCAAATTTGTTACTATTTTTGTTGGCGTGTGTAATAACTATTGTTAAATAGCCAATACCCGCATGTTTGCGGCGCCTTCAAACACCTTTCGAACTGTAAAACAATGACTCAATTCTATTTTACGCATATCTATAATACGGGTATCGAATTTCAAGCAAATCATACCATAAATAAGATTTTTTGGAATAGATCGGTCCCTGGTGCAACTATCAGAAAAAGAGTATCTAATATTTTAACCCTGACAATAAGCTACCTACGTGTCAACTTTCAAGCAAATCGCACCATAAATACGATTTTTTCCAATAGATCGGTATCTGGTCCACCTATCAGAAAAAGTATCCTATATTTTAACCCAAATTTCAAGCAAAGCGGACCATAAATAATACTTTTTCGAATAGATCGGTCCCTGGCCCACTTAACGGGAAAAATGGATCCTATATGCTAATTTAGGCAAAAGGCTACCTACGTACCAAATGCATTTTTTAGCGTAGCTCGACCCCTGCCCCACGTATCGGAAAAATTAAAACTTTGTGCACTCCTTCTAAACAACTTTCCAAAAAAGCAGCAACCATTTGAATCGGTTATGAAACATATTTAGGAGAAAATTGTTCCCAATTGATTCATGTTCGCAATGAATATCACAATTACCCGAATTTTTCCAAGCTTCACAACGAATTTTCCACCTTAAAATTGTCCAAAATCATCAAATCATGCGATAAAATACAAAATTTCGTCGTAAAAAATTCAAATATTTTTTATGTAAAATACTTCCAGATAGTTGCTTCTCCAAACTCAAATGCAATTTAGTTAAAATATATTAAGCAACTATCATAAAATTAGTACTATTTTGGGATTTTTAACTTTTTGATATTTTCTTCCCCAACTTTGACTATCTCTGGTGAAAAAAAATGTACTGAGCTATAACTTTACATTACATAAAAAAATTGCTCATTTAATAAGGATTTCAGAAAGGTGCCACTCTTACTGTTTCGAATAGAAAAAAAAAGTTATAGCCGCTTTTGTGGCCAAAGGACTGAGACACGCTAGAATGTATTTAATAGATTTAAATTTAAGTTGCTCTTGTTACCGACCAATGACATGCTAAATAGTACAAAGGTACATTATTACATGCTCCTGACATTATTTTATGTTACTTACCTGAACTAGTGAAAGTGGATTTTATGAAATTGGACCCTTCGAACATTGTGTTATTAATACTATGACAAAGAACACGCAGTATGAATATGCGGATATTCACCTAATTTACAGTGAAGCTTGCTGTAATGCCAGAGCTGCTCAAAGACTTTATGCAGAGCGATACCCCAATCGTCGGCATCCGGGTCGTGAAGTATTCGCCCGGACCCATAGAGAAATATATGAAGGTAAGTGATTTTTACACCTTTCTTGTTTGCTTGCTTGTTAACTATCCTTTTTCACTTTTTTAAGGTCCATCGACTTCAGTGAGAATGATGGAAAGACGGACGGGAATACGAAAAACTACAGTTCACAAAGCTTTAAAAGACCATCGGTTTCATCCCTACCACATTCAGCGTGTTCAGGCTCTACAAGACAGAGATTACCTGTCGAGGGTTAGATTTTGCCGTGAAATGTTGCGAATGCATGAATCAGACCCCAACTTTTTTAATAAAATAATTTGGAGCGATGAACCCTCATGCAAACGTGATGGTTACTTTAATTTACATAACTTTCACATTTGGCAGATTGACAATCCTCACGAAATGAGAGAAGATTGTTCGCAGTACCGGTACAAAATAAATTTATGGTGCGGTATTTTTAATTGTCAGATATTGGGACCTGTCGAACTACCGCCAACGCTCAACTCTCACAGTTATTTAGAGTTCCTTCAGGAACGGCTTCCAACTCTTTTAGAAGATGTACCCTTAAACCTGCGGCGAAGACTATGGCAGCAAAATGACGAATGCCCTGCTCACTACGGGCGTGAAGTAAGAGCTCATTTAGATGAAACTTATCCTCGCCGATGGATTGGACGATACGGGCCAATCACGTAGCCCGCTCGATCGCCAGACCTGAATCCATTCGATTTTTTCTACTGGGACAAAATTTATTCAAAAATAATTAAAAACGAAGAGCATTTTCGGGAACAAATAAATGGAGCTGCTGCTGAGATAGCCCAATTGAGTTTAAGATCTCTAAAAGCGTCTTTTCTTAAAAGGTGCCGAGCTTGTATTAGAGTAGAAGGTCGCCAATTTGAGCATACTTTATCAATAAATGAATAAATTTTTCTTCAAACAACTCATGTATATTTTATTTCACGTGAACCCATCCTTCACAAAAATATTGATAGATATAGCCCTTGTTGTAGACTCTAGTCCGAGTTTCGGTAAGTAACATAAAATAATGTCAGGAGCAGGTAATAATGTACCTTTGTACTATTTAGCATGTCAATGGTCGGTAACAAGAGCAACTTAAATTTAAATCTATTAAATACATTCTAGCGTGTCTCAGTCCTTTACCCATAAAAGCGGCTACAACTTATTTTATTCTATTCGAAATAGTAACAGTGGCACCTTTCTGTAATCTTTATTAAATGAGCAATTTTTTTATGTAATGTAAAGTTATAGCTCAGTACAATTTTTTTCACCAGAGATAGTCAAATTTGGGGAAGAAAATATCAAAAAGTTAAAAATCCCAAAATAGTACTAATTTTATGATGGTTCCTTAATATATTTTAACTACATTGGATTTGAGTATGGAGAAGCAACTATCAGGAAGTATTTTACATAAAAAATTTACTAAGTATAGCCTGGTTTGTAGATGCAGTTAAAGAAAATGAATGCAAAGGCTGTAATGAGCGCACATGTATTCACTACCCTGTGTTTAGACCAATAGGTGTACGTAGTAGTATGTCTCAGTCATTAGTTAAGCAATCGATTATGTTACTAAGTATCGGTTACTAAGTATCGACAATACAATGTAAAATGTACATGATGATCACTAGAAATATATATACGTAGACGACAGGTGCTGTATAGACAGAACAAATAAAATATCACTATTTTATATATAATCTGTTGGACTACTAATAAAAGTAATATATAACTAAAATATAGTATCTACACTCATTACATGGTGTCAGATCTAAAGCCTTTGTTACATAATCTGATAAAATAAAGTAACAAAAAGAGAACCAAAATTAGCATCGGGGCGAACGAAAAAGAAAATGGCGACCAGACCTGAACGAGCGGTACCGGAGTTGCATTGCTCGAATTTAGCCAGCGAGTGGCAAGACTGGAAGCGGAACTTTCTTGTGTACTTGATCGCCAGTGGAAAATCGTCGGAAAAACAAGCTTCTAAAATTGCAAATTTTATTTGGTTGATTGGGTCGGGTGGCGCAAACATTTACAATGCACTATTCCCCAATAACGGAACGGAAGACTCGCTGCTAGGCACAGTCAGGAGTGGCGATGCCGTTATACAACTGTCACTTGATGAAGTTTTGCAGGCATTCGACAAACACTGCTTGCCTCAAAAGAATATTCCAATGGAAACTTATAAATTCAACTGCATTTTACAAAAAGAACACGAATCCTTTAGAGAGTTTGAAACTCAATTACGAATTCAAGTACGCCGATGCGAATTTCAATGCGAATGTGGAAAATCTTACGAAGAAAGAATGTTGCGGGACAAAATAATTGTCGGAGTGCATGACAAAAAATTGCAACTGAAATTATTAGATGGTAGAGACGAGCAATTGTCCAAGGTAATTGACATGTGCAAAACGTTCGAGGCAGCAAACGCAAACAAAAATATATTGGAATTACCAAAGCAAGCGTCAGTTAATGCCATTAATAAAAAGCCTAAGGCTGAGCAAAGTCCCATGGAATCAAATACACGATTTTGTTTCAACTGTGGTGGTTCATGGAAGGTGGGGCACGTGGAGGAGTGTAAGGCGAAGGAAGTTGTGTGTCACAATTGCGGTAAAAAGGGTCACTTTAAACGTATGTGTCGCAAGAGCAAGAAACAGCTGGATCAAAAGCAGGAGAAGGACAACGGGAAGAAAGCGGTGTCAGACATTCATTGGGCTGACTTACAAGGTTTGGGTAATTATGAAAAAAAACTATAAAATAAGTAGCTTATATGAATTCAAAACTTTTAGAGTAAACTCAATCGCAACTGAGCAATCGCGGTGGACTAAAGAGTACTTGGTAGAAAACGAAGTCGTCAAATTTAAGTTGGATACCGGAGCTGAAATTAATTGCATTCCCTATAAGATTATTAAAATGTTAAATAAAAAATTGGATTACCACGGAAATGATCTTAGCTTATTCGATTATAATAACAACAGGATACAAAATTTTGGTATCATAAAGTTAAAGTTATCGGAACTGAATACAGGGAAGGCACGGGTTGCCGATTTTGTTGTAGTTGAAGATAAGTGTGAACCAATACTTGGATTAAAAACGTGTACGCAGTTTGGGTTAGTTAAACGGATAGACATGGGAAGTGTTTCATGTACGAGTTCAAAGGAACTGTTCATGGAGCAACACAAAGAAATTTTTCACGGACTTGGTAAATTCCCCGGAACTTTTTCGATCACTTTAAAAGAAAACTCAAAACCAGTATTGCATTATAGGAAACGAATACCAAAATCATTAACGGATAGACTTAAAGCGGAGTTAGACACGATGACAGACGAAGGGATTATTTCGCCTGTTAATTACGCAACAGACTGGGTCAATAACTTACAAATAATTGAGAAGCCAAACGGGAAACTAAGAATATGTCTAGACCCAAAGCCTCTTAATGAGTGTATTAAAAGGGAACACTTTTTAATACCCACAATCGACGACTTGACTGCAGGATTAGCTAAAAAATCAATATTTTCTGTGCTTGATTTGAGCAGTGGATTTTGGCATATGGAGCTAGACAAACCAAGTTCCGAACTCACTACATTTATGACACCCTTCGGCAGGTATAAATTTAACCGGGTACCCTTTGGTCTTAATTGTGCACCGGAAATGTTTCAAAGAAAAATGGTTGAAATTTTTGGAGACATTCAGGGCGTAATTGCGTATTTTGATGACATAGTTATTTGTGCAGAGAGTGAACAGGAACACGACAAATTAATGAGTGTAGTTATGAGTAGGGCTCGGGCGAATAATATCAAATTCAATCCTACAAAGATGCAATATCGACAAAGGGAAGTAAAGTTCATGGGACATGTTTTATCATTCGGGAAAATTAGAGCGGATAGAAAACACCGGGAAGCGGTCGTGAATATGAAAAAGCCAACATGCAAGGCAGACGTTTTGAGATTCTTAGGTTTTCTCAAATACCTGGCCAGATATATTCCAAACTTGTCACGACATACGGCTCATTTACGCGACTTGACTCGAAATGATGTAGACTTCAACTGGACGAGAGACCATGAAATGGAATTTAACAATTTAGTAGGAATCGTAACTTCAGAGCCAGTGTTAGCTATTTTCAACCCAAAAATACCTATCGTTGTTCAAACGGATGCATCAAAGGATGGATTGGGCTGTGTAATCCTTCAAAATGGTCAGCCGATAGCATTCGCGTCAAGAACTCTTAGTAAGAGTGAACAAAAGTGGGCACAAATCGAAAAAGAGCTCCTGGCAATAGTGTTTGCTTGTGAAAGATTTCACTTCTTCCTGTACGGACACAATTTTACTGTGGAAAGCGATCACAAGCCATTAGAAACTTTAGTTAAACGCCCTATAGATGATGTAACAGTGCGACTTCAACGTATGTTTATGTTCCTTTTAAAATATCCACAAATGAAGGTTGTCTACAAGCCAGGTAAAGAAATACTTGTAGCAGACTGTCTATCAAGGGCACAACTTCCAGAAGTCACGGAAATGGAAGGATTATCGGGAGTTATACACGCAATCACAAAAGCAGTGTGTATGACGAAGGACAACTTAGACTTATATCGGGCAACATTAAAAAATAGCGCAGAGTTCTCGCGGATATGTGGATACATAGAAAACGGCTGGCCGAAGTTCCATCAGTTGGACGATCTAAGTCAGCAGTTTTATAAATTCAAGTCTGAGTTGCATTTTGAAAACGGACTACTATTTTTGAATCATAGACTCGTTATACCCCCAGAAATAAGAAGTAAGATAGCACAGTATCTTCATTCTCCCCATCTATGCATCGAAAAAACCCTTGCTCGTGCTAGAAGGTTGTACTACTGGCCGGGAATGGCAAGGGAGATAAAAGAGTTAGTTATGCGTTATAAAATATGTGAAAAATTCAAAAGGGAAAATCAAAAGGAACCATTACTGCAAGAAGAACCGCCACAGTACCCATTCCACATTGTAGGTGTGGATTTATTCGAATATGCAGGTTATGATTACATTACACTCTTCGATGCATATTCTAACTATTTAGCGTCAGTAAAAATAAGTAAGAAAACATCTAGCAACATCATCGACGTGTTCTGTCAGCTTTTTGACCTAATCGGGTACCTGACCATTATCAAGTGTGACAACTCTCCGTTTGGGTCAGCAGAATTTCAAAGGTTTGCAAACGAGTTCAATATTCAGTTCAGATTTTCGAGCCCAAGGTATCCACAGAGTAATGGATTAGCCGAAAAAGGGGTGGCGATAGCTAAAAACATCCTTAAACGAAGCCTTATATCTAATACTGTAGACAACTTTGCATATCGGCTATTAGAATATAACACTACACCGTTATCTGGCATGCAGGTAACTCCCTCCGAGTAGTCTTCGGCAGGCTAGTAAAAACTAAGCTGCCAATTACAAACTCTCTTCTAATGAGAAACAATCTGAGTGAAGTCGAAGTTTCAAATAAGATAGCTAAAAAGAGGGATACGCAAAAGTATTATTATGATCGAAACGCTAAGACATTACCCGTATTAAATCCAGGAGATAACATAATTTTTAAGAAAAGTAGTAAAGAATGGCATAACGGAACAATAGTTGCGAAAGTTAATGAAAGATCATACCTCGTAAGAGATAATTTCAATAATCATTTTAGGCGTAATCGGCGGTTTATTGCGAATGCCAAAAATGAAGATTTTAATGCAAGTGAAGTATTAGCAGAAGAAGTAACAGAAAATAGTAACAAAAACCAAGTACTCGGTTCACCAGAAAAGCCAGTAATAGTGATGAGGGAAGAAATGCCGGTCGAAAACAAAACACCTAGTAATAAAGAGAATTGTAATAATTGTAATGTGGATGAACCGCGGGGCGCTGAAATGCCGAATGCGAGCAGTGGTTCAGAAGCAAACACGAGTGAGCATGTAACAACGAGAAGCGGGAGGGTCGTGAAACCACCAGTGCGACTGGAATATACTTGAAAAAAAAAAAAAAAAAAAAAAAAAAAAGCGTGTAATGAGCGCACATGTATTCACTACCCTGTGTTTAGACCATTAGGTGTACGTAGTAGTATATCTCAGTCATTAGTTAAGCAATCGATTATGTTACTAAGTATCGGTTACTAAGTATCGACAATACAATGTAAAATGTACATGATGATCACTAGAAATATATATACGTAGACGACAGGTGCTGTATAGACAGAACAAATAAAATATCACTATTTTATATATAATCTGTTGGACTACTAATAAAAGTAATATATAACTAAAATATAGTATCTACACTCATTACAAAGGCACGATTTTTTTTTAATTAAAAAAAAATGTAAATATTTCATAAACGGTGACACTTTTACCTGAAAATTTTGTGTTTATCAAAGAGCTCACCCCCCCACCTACCTTCCCCTAAAGTTTGGCAGGTACACCTTGTATATAGATTACTTATTGAAAATGTTTGCGTGTATACTTATATATGGATATGTAAGTAAAAAATTTTAGCTACCATTTTTAGCCACAACGACTTTTTTTAGCTCTTTTTTAGCTCTTTTTTAAAGGAATTTGGCTACCAGTAAAAATTATTCGCGGCAACACTGGTTAGTACGAAGTATTTGTCCATTTTTAACTCACACATGACATACATGTATCTTTGGACAAACAAAGTATGGCCTAGCACGAACGTAGACTAAATACACCTAGAACTCTTTACTACGAAATATAAGATTTCAAACTGGTCTATACCTTGGATGAGGTACCTCGAAAATAGTGTTTGGTAATAAAGTTTGCCATACCCTGGTGCCTAGCGCCTGTCCTCTCCTGTTGGATCTTCACAGCAATTGTAAGGTCCATATTATGCCATGGGATACTGGCTGGTAGACATAAATGAAAAATTAAACTCTTTACAAAAGAGTAGAAAGTTTATATAGATTATCTATATATGATTAACGTAACTGCTCGCAGTACTTTGTAAAACTACGGCCAGGTTTAATGCCACATGAAAATTTCTCTGCTAGCCTTATGATAGCAGCAGTATAATTAGCGTTAACAACTTACGGACGAACAAATCACGCCTGGACCGACAATGGACAATACCCAGTGTATTTTTCCGTGAAAATTTTTGCATATAAAAATGTGTCACTCGGTGGCGTCGTAGATTTCTAATTCTGCCACAACGTGAAAACGCCAATTTCACAATTTAGGGTAAGCTCGGCGAAAAATGCATTCAAATAGGTGAATGCGATTTTTTAACTATCTTAGATATATGTATGGAGTTCATTTGTGTATATGCGTAAAAGCACATACATACATACATACATATGTAGCTCATTATAAATTGAATATCACTACAAATTAAAATTCTAGTCTTCTAAAGCAGTCGGTATGTCCACAAGCACTTCATTCCAGTTACAAATGTTTAAACAATAAGCCATTGTTTGAATTGTTATTCGAGTAGAATGTATCATAGTTTACGCTTTAGAAATTTGCACAGTAGCATTTGATATGAATAAAGGAAATATCAAAAAAAAAAACAATAAGCTTCGGAGAAAAGACACCTTTAACAAATTGCAAAATAGGTAAAAAGTGCAAACATATCGCCGGGTTTCTGGAAGAACATAATAGCTCGAAAAATTTTGAAATGTGAGAAATAGGGCTTAGAAGAAATGATGATTACTAAAAATTAAGACAATTTGTGTAAAAACATCAAGACGCACACGAAAAATTGGAGGAAATGCTCGACCAAACACTTGGAAAAGTGTAATATCTTATTTCCATAAAAGGCTTAACTGCAATATGGCGGACACTTTTTGTATTGGATCCGCCATTTTGAATTTTCGAAAACTGACATCAAATTCGTAATCGGTGACTCCCAAAACCCCTGAGTAACGATTTTCAAGCGAATCCGATGAATTTTACAAAAATGTGTCCGCCATATTGGATCCGCCATTTTGAATTTTGAAAAAATAATATCATATTCGTAATTAGCGACCCCGAAAACCCCCGAGTAACAAGTTTCAAGCGAATCCGATGAATTTTTCCAAAAGGTGTCCGTCATATTGGTTTTCTGGGGTTATATCAAAACCCTGATGTGATGGGGTTAAACGGACCTCGGATTCGGATTCAGCGACCCCAAAAACATAAAGTACACATAGTGAGACCTTTGGGTCAGAACACAAATTTTTTTTTGTGTGGCTGTGTAATAGATTGGCGCTTACACATATGTTCGTGTTTGGCCGAGCTTCTCCTCCGACTTGTGGCGTGCGCCTTGATGTTGTCACACAAAGCGGAGGGACCTACAGTTTTACGCCGACTCCGAACGGCGATTGTATTTTTATGAGAAGCTGTTTTTCCTAGCAGAAATACACTCGGAGGTTTGCCATTGCCTGCCGAGGGACGACCACTGTTAAGAAAAAACATTTTTTTCTACATTTTTTTGCGATGTTGCACCACTGATTACAAATCTTCATTCAGGTTTTAAAAATCCTATTTTTCAAAATTGATTGAATTCGTTCGAAACTTGTTTCTCGGGGGTTTTTGGGGTCGCTAGTTATGAATCTGACCATGGATTTTTAAAATTCATAATTGGGGATCCAATATGGCGGGCAAATTAAAAAAAAAAAAATTTATTCGCTCGAAACTTTTTACTCGGAGGTTCTTGGGGTTGTTGTCGCGATATTGGATAAACCATTCTGAAAAGTTAAAATAATTGTATGGGTGTCGCAAAAACGCACAAAAAGAGTATATTTTACCTTTAAGCCAACACTTCACAGAACTAGA